GGAGAGTTGGTACAGCCCAAGCAGTGCCAGGGAGAGTGCTAACAAAATGCTGTCAACTACCAGGAGCATGTTGCTCAGCTTCTCTCTGTGTTCTTGTTTTATTTAGCAAAGTAATTGAAATGGAAGGGACTCCCAGCCTGTTCCCACAGGCGGTGTAGAAGCCTTCAGCCATCTGGCACAGAGGCTGCACCCACACAGGCACTGCTGCAAACAGTGCACGTGGCCATACGATACCAAGCACGCTTTCCTTGTCTGTGCCCTCGTTTTCCCATCTCCAGAGATGGCTGAACAGCCATCAGCAAATTGATAAAGCCAAATTCAAGTTTTAATTAAAGGAATCTCTAGTCTCCAGCTTTTGCTATTAGGCATCTTAATAATCTTAAGTACGAATTCCTGTTTTTCATTTTGTGTGATTAACTCTTGTAAGTAATGTTGTAGTTCTCCTAAAATGTGTTGCTTGTAAAACTTGATTTTTGCAGACCTGTTGTAAGGCCTCGTTTCAAAATAATCACCCTCCAGTTGAACTGCTTTAGGCCTCAGGAATGTATGCACCCTGTGCAGTTCTGCACAAGCAGAGGTCCTGCATCCTTGGAGACATCAAGGTCAGACTGGATGTGGCTCTGAGCATTCTGATCTATCTGTAGGTGTCCCTGTTCATTGCAGGGTTGTTGGATTAGATGGCCTTTAAACATCCCTTCCAGCTCAAACGAATCTATCATTCTATGCCTGCACTCAGGTAACACTCCTCCATTGTTACAGACCCATCACAGGTTCAGTGGAGACCCCATTAAGTGCGAGGAAATCATTAGGTCCTCTGAGATAAAGAACTATACACTGCAAAGTGTAGTTTTAAATTTTATATATATACATATATATATATAGCACTGTAGGATACTCATGCAAAAACAAAACACTGAGCTTTCTGACAAACAAGTGTATGATATATAGAAGCCTGGCAAGATGTTTCAGCAACTAAGGGAGTAGGTTGAATCAACTATCTGTGACCCACGAGATAAATCTGACACTGGAGTACCAGGTTTAAATGGAGGCAGCTTCTCTGGAGTACAAAGTTTATTTTACCCCCTCCCATTAGCAGTGCCTAGAGCAGCAGATGCTCCGTGCTGTGGCAGCCAAGGAAGGATCATGCTGCTGCACACTCCTATCCCAGCATGGCTGCCTCCAGCTCTGCCTTAAAGTATTTGTATTTTGGCATCATCCTTGGTCAGATGGTGCATTTTTCAGGACCAGATCACTTCTTAGGTGTAAAATATTCTCCCCAGTGGATCTTGCTGCCAGCTTCTTTCTGCTATGAGTAGGACTGCTGATGAGGGCATGGGGAAGGCAGTGCTGCTGAAGGAGCAGCTTTCACACTCTGGTCATGTATCATGAAGCAGCCACTGCTTTTGGAGCTGCAGGCACATCAGTGCTAGAGTCTGTGAGAGGTACTGAGGATAGCCCTAAGCTAATGGGATGAGACAGCCCTGGGGCAGCTCAGCCATGGCTGCAGTGCCACCAGACCAAGCAAACTGATCCCTGCTTCACCAGCTTGGTTACCTCAAGTAAACTCAAAGATCACAGCGCTGCAAATTGAGATGTGGCTGAGTACTAACAGCTCTAACATTAGAGGACAGCAGTAAAAAGGGAATTGCACCCAGCCTTTATTTTTGTGTGCAGCCCTTAAGGGTCAGAAATAATTTGTCCCCAAGTATGTTTAAATATAGATTCTGCTATTGAAAAAGTCACCTAGTGTAGGTTTAGTAGAGTATTCCTTGAGAGCTGTGAAGCACACAAGTAACTGTTTCATATAAAGTCCAGTTGTGCAAATTCCTGGTCCAAGATGCAAACCACAGTCTGTTTCTCTTATGCATTACCATCAATGTATATATAATTATATATACTATATATATATAACTAATATATAATTAGTTGCTGGTTCTTTTTTCAAATAAATTATACCTACATCACCAGACATGTAATTCCAGAATCTTTTCTTTTTACAGCTTGATACTCTCTTCCTTTCAGAGGATCTCAGCGAAGTCTGAGAGAGGAAAGCACAAGCAATAATTTCCTCATGTATCCCATCTGAAATGAGCTTTATGAGGGATATAGATGCATTATTCATCCCATGTACTGACACATTAACAGTACAGAGTTGTTTACCTATTTTGCATCTAGGTAAAATAATTTACAGGTACAGATTTTCTTGCCTGAGAATAGGACACAAACTTTAAGGCTCAGATTATCGCAGGAGTTTCCCCTTGCAGTTCCTCAGTTTCCCTGGACAACACTTTGCTCTGTGCATACAATTGATTGGTGTTTTCATTTGCACTGGTTTCATTGCAACACGTTTCTCTCACTGCCCAGACAAATGGGAGGAGGAAAGTCTATAAATCGATGATGATCCTACTGACCCTGCTTGTGTCTCTTTTCTACTCCTTGAGGTGTCTGTTCATTCTCAGGCTTTCTAAGTTCAGCTACAGATTTCCTCACCACTTTTGTATAATTTCCTTTTTAAATAATATCTGGTTTAATATCTTCAAAACATGAAGATGAGATATGAAAATCACTACTGATTACACAAATAAGCAGTTTTAATGCAGTATTAAAAACATGGCTCTTCTACACTACTAAACTTGCATGGATTTACATACGTCTCTGAGCTTAGGGCAAAGAACCTGTAATTTGCTACAAAGCAGCTCTTGTATTGTGGAGTGGCATTCATAATAATAGTACCAGGTAAATAACACAGGGATTCAAAGACAAAATTTATCCCTTAAAGTCAATCTGCATTAATATAAGAAAAGTCCTCGAGGGAATTTAGGAACTATGAAGCAAGGAAATGGATTATATTAATCTGTAAATTCCATGTTTCTTTTGAGGACTGACAGATAAAATGCAGATAATAGTTTTTATTTGGTTATTAATGTTAGTGCTATTAACGTTTTGGCAGTGGATGTCCATTACACGTTATATCCAAGATAGAATTATACCAACTGTGGGGTAGCTGCCAATTATTCCCCACAAAAGCCCATTTGCACAGCTCTGTTGTGCAGTTTGTATACTGAATCTCTCCATACTAACCTATTTGTTGTGCAAGCCCAGCCCTTCTGTTCAATTGCTTATACACCTGAACTTAATTCTACTGAAATTCCTGTTGAGGTGCCTTCTCAATTCTGCTGTGGTTAAGCTATGTGGAGATGCTCATCCTCATGGAGGCCTACAGCACAATGCTGAGTAACTAAGAGCCTAGATAACATTGGATGAGATCTATGTGGTTAGTAGGTTTCCCTTCTATAAGCCAGCCCCAAAGGAAAGCCTCAAGTAAGACCCATGCAGAGGATAGCATGGTGCTGCTTGCCTTGCTGTCCTCCTGCCTGCAATGCAGTGCCTTATGGTAGAAGTATTCATGAAGAACAGATTGGGGTGAAAACTTCAATACTATCTATGTTTGGAACCCAGGTACCATGCAAACTTCATAACCACTCACCTACAAAATCATATTAGATGTTGAATTGCTTTGTATACAGCAAGACACCTCTAAGAAGATATATGCTACTTCCTCAGGAGAGGCTGCAGTGCGGTGGCTACATCATTCTCCTGAGAACTGAGGCATGTCAGTTCAAATTCTAGCTCTGATTAGAGATGACATTTCATTTTAGGTGTCCCATCTCCTCCTTGCAAATTCTTAAATGAGTAGTGCTGCTAGCATTGCTTGGCTTTGTATAAAAATTGTACTTCTTCAGTGGGAAAAGGAGATAGTGCTTTTTAAAAATTAATTAAAGCACTATTATGTGAATGGGGAGGTCTGGATTCCTATTTCAAGCAAAGTACTTCAGGAAAAACAGGGGATTCTCTGAAGACCCCTCAATCTCATGCTTACTGCTTGCTTATATATTTCTTTTCTCTTAGAGGGAAATGAGGACCAACCCTGGTTCTCCACATCCTTCTGACAGCTGAGATTTAGGGGATCTCTGAGGGATGTTGCTACCTGATTGCTTTTGGTGAGAAAATCTCTAATGCTCCTACAACACAGAGGGATTCTACAGTGAACCACAGTGTGGCAGATGTGGAGTCCACAGCACACGGTGGAATGCTGTGTGGAGGTCCGTCACCCTACAGCAGGCATCAGTGCAGTGCTTTTCTCCACAGGGAAAGCACAGTGAGAAATTAGTGCAGAAAGTGGAAAGCAGTGTGAGAAATTAGTGCATCAACTTTGTCACAACACAACGGCTGCAGGGAAAGCTCATAATGATGCCATAAAATAGATTGAAAGGTAATTTCTAATTAACCACGTTCATCCAGCAGCCTTAAAATTTTTGAGAATTAGTCCAGCAATTTAAAATTCAGCACACACTGTCATGGTTACTTCAGAACTCTATATATCACACTCAAAAAGGCAGAAAAGAGTTTGAAACAACTTTTAACCAGAGGAAGGGAAAGAATATTTGCTTTTTAAATGCAGGATGCTATTTGTGGAAAGAATGCATTTTTGATGAAGCGTTCAGAATCAACTGATACATGTGATTGATGTCCACAATAACTGCACACTTCTTCATCCTTCCACTCCAATAAACGTTTCAAGCTTACATTTTGGATTTCATTAATACTTAGACAAAAACAACTTATGGGCAGTATCATGAAAGCACGTTTGAGAATTGATCTATGTTTGTATAACTGGTTAATAATGACGGATACTTTTTCTTCCTGGAGTAAATACGAGCTAATTTGCTAGACCTCCCTCCTCTGTTCATGAAAAAGCCAAGTCCAAATGATTTAATGGATTTTTAAAGAATGGTGGCAAGATATTGCTTATGTAAGCCTGAATTTCTCCACTTGATAAAATCTGATGCTGCTACAGTGCTAACACTTCAGTACTGGAGTTCTGATGTTTTAATATTTCTAAGAGAGAACACAGCCCATCTAGGAACACAGACAAATTGGGGGGAAAAAAGAAAAAAAAAAGAGGCAGCTGAAATACAGTTGTGGAAAGAGACTCAAAGTGAAACTATCACGCTTATTTTTATTCTTGATAAGCAGCAGGGTGGCTTGGAATAAATACGGACAGAAATTTTCTTCGTCTTTTTAATGAGTTCAAAGAGGCTAAACAAAGACACTGAAGAGTTGAACATCGCTGTGTACAGCACAGTAAACAGATTAAAATTTTATACCTGAGCAAAAAAAGGAATTTAACTATTAACTACAGCATGCAGAATAACTGATAAGTTATCGCATAAACATAGCATACTGTTATTAGGTTACACTCATTCAGATGCTCTTAATTTTTACTGAAGCTAAAGATGGAAAAAGCTCCAAGATGAGATGAGTGTGTGACATAACACCACAATAAGAAAAAGTACATTGGCATCTAGCAGCCTTTCCAGAAGATCAAAATTATCTGCTGTTTTATTACGCAGGGAAAAAGCAGCAACAATTCAAAGCCTGTGGAGTTAATAACACGTCAGACATTTAAGCAGGTCTTGAAAATTAAAATATTGGCAGTTTATGAAGTGCTCATAAAAGACCTGAGCCTGCATCTCCTCCCTCAAATGCCACTTAAAAGCTCTGTGTTTATGAGCTCTTCCGAATGTGGAATTAAAGGTACGGATCTGCAGAGAATTAGTGATGAGGTCCCAGACTTGCAATTTTTCTCACCAACATAACCATAGCCAATTCATAAAGGATGAGTTTTGACCCCATTTGATTGACCCAAATCCACCTTTACCTTTCTTCATACCAAATTTGGTATTTTTTCCTTTTCTCTTTTTCTTTCCCCTAATCCATTCAGGATATTCTGGTTTGAAGTGCTTCAGTGCGAGTCAGAAACAGTACCGTATCTATTTTCCTCATCTCCACAAAAGTTCCCTGTGGGAGAAAAAGTGGCTGAAAAGTTTGAGCTTTAACCGGCACAGCCCATTTTCCCCATACAGGCTTCATTCTTCCAGGAGACTTCTATACTCCCTGGTCTCTACATGCAGTATACAAGTTGCCTGCTGCCATCAGCAGTACTCCTGTGCTACAAAACAGCCATTTACCTTCCTATGGCCAAAGCAGCAAACTCTGCCTTTGTCATTTAGACTTGTCAAGTAGAGATGGGAGGGATGGGGTTGTCTCTTACCATGTTATAGACAGCCACAAACAAAACATCTCTCTTATTTTTTTGGAGTTGTGTGGTCACATCCTTGCGGTGCCAACCTACTCCCCTCAAATCATATCACCTGCCTTGACTTGCCTGCCTCTTTTCTTTCACCTTTTATGAGTAAAACTATGCATTAAAAATGCATGTGTCAGAATGGATTTATTCCTTCGTCCACAACATGTGCATTTCTTCTTTAAAGTCAGAAATCTTAGACATTGGTAGGTTGTGTGAAAGAGTCTCCAGGGAACTGACTCTTCTTTGCTTCCAGTTTCTTCCTGGCTTTGAAAGCTGCTGACACTTCAGGGTGGATGGAGTCTAGCCGCTGCTCGCACTGAAAGGCTGTGAGGAAGGCCGTCCTGTAGTTGTTATTCATCCAGCCATAGAGAAGAGGATTAGCAAATGTTGAGCACATGGCAATGACATGAAACACCGTGTAGATCAGTTTGTACTCTTTCAGGTCCAACACCTGACTGTCAATATCGCTGACTAGCTGGAAGGCATGGAATGGCAGCCAACTGACAGCGAACACAACAACCACGCAAACCAGCATCTTGGTGGTTTTCTGACGCCGGTGGTGGTAGTGGTCGTTCCCCGCCCCAGGACTAACATGGTTCTTGAGCTTGGTCCAAATGCGGGTGTAGGCGTAGGAGATGACGGCCAGAGGCAGCACGTACTGGATCAGGAGCATGGAGACACTGTAGATGGTGCCATAGTTAAGCTGCCCCTCCCCTGGCCACTTCTCAGAGCAGACCACGATCTTGAAGTCCGGAATGATCTCAATCAGCGAGTACTCGCGGAAGATGGCCAGAGGGCTTGCCAACAGGGCACTGACTGCCCATGCCACTCCTATGATCAGGAAGCTGATACGCTTAGAGATTTTGCTTTCCAAGTGATAGACAATGCAGCGATGTCGATCCAAGGCAATCACAGTCAACGTAACAGTAGACACGTGCACAGCAAGGGCTTGGGCATAAGGCACTAAGTGGCACAAGACTGGGCCCAGTTTCCACTCACCCAATAGTGTGTAAACTAGAGTGAAAGGCAAGCACAGCGTATTCACCAGCAGATCAGCCACGGCCAGGTTGGCGATGAAGAAGTTGGTCACGGTGCGCATGCTTTTGAATTTGATGATCACGTGGATCACAAGAGAGTTCCCGATCACCCCCAGCAGAATGATGGAACAGTAAGCAAAGATGAGGATTATCTGCACCTCAACTAGCGTTGTGCTGTCCTTCAGTTCTGGTTTGGGGTCAAGAGCCAGTTCATTGAGTGGTGTGGTGTATCTTGGCAAGTACAGCTTGGTGAACAACTCCATCTTCATTTCATCTGTCTGGTTTTCTTCACCCATTGCTTCCAGGGGCCCCATCCTTTCAGTAGCAATAGCTCTGTCCCTGAAAAACAGAACAACACAAGAACACACGGAGAAATCAGTCTGCAGTGGCTAAGACAAGAAGTAATGAGCTAAAGGTAGAGCAGTTTTCTCCTCTAACCTAGGTTCTACATATCACAATTAAGAGAAGACCTGTCTTAATATATTTAAATTCTGTTGGCCTTACATTTCAAGCTCGATCCTGTAATATTATTCAGGCATGAAAACTGGGACAGATTTCAAAAGTAGTTCAAAGACAAAGTTTGCCTAAGTAAATGCAGCAGGATTAAGATCCAGCTGGGCAGTGTATCCTTTTTTCAGAAACCACTACCTGAGTGTAGTAGTTATGTAGCACAAAACTTTCACTAATACCCATGGTATTCTACATAGAATGGCACCATCCAGACTGTTATTAGCATAATAATATTCCAGCTTTTCCTTAATAGAAAGCATTTCTTTCCAAATTCCTATATGTTACTTTCAGAGAACTAAATATCGATGTCTTTCTTTAACAAACTTTCTTCCAAGAAAGTGCCACAAGGCAAACAAAAGCACCACTCCAGCAGAACTGAAATAACAGCATTTCTCTGAAATGACTGTGTAACCTATTCATGCTGAAATTAACACAAGAAATGGTTAAAACTCAGATACAAATAATATTTCCTTTTTGACTAATGCTTAAGAAAACGCAGTTCCCTGGATGCTGCCCATCAATTCTTGTCTGCAGTCACAGAGAAGAACAAATCATTCCCCTTCTAATGTCAGTAAGAATCTCACCACTTGCATCAAAAATCACATTTTGTTGGCTTCCCCACACAGGCAGAGCCAAATTCTGCTCAGCTAACCTATACTGTCCTAATACAGAGTAGGTATGGATGGATAAATGGATGTTTTATAGTCTTCATATAGGGACTTCAGCCCTGTATGCAATGTGCCTGTTCTCATGCAGACTCTCTAAACCTTGGGTGACACGGTAAGGAAGCACCACACACATGGAGGCTCCATGGTTTGACCTCTGAAAATACTAAGAAAATGTCAGTGCACAGTGGGCTCGCAGAAGGAACTCCACTGGTTGCCACTGAGAGTAAAGCCAAAGCTGAGTGCTCTACTTTGCTATTCATACATGCCCCAAGGAAAGCAAGAGTAGAGAAGTAATGTCACTTTCTTGCCATCAGATGTTACATAGGAGTCCAGCTTGACTTCAGGTCTGCCTAAAGAAACATTCTTGCTGTTAAAACCTGTGGTTTCATGCGGCCTTTTTATCTGTGATGATCGTGATTTAAATCACATCCACTTCACTGCAGATCTCCATTCCTACCTGTGTCTCCACTGACATGTATCAGCGACATCCCTAGGTGTGATTTCCTCACCAAATTGCTGTACATGTGCATCTCTACTCTGTGACTGGTTACTACAGAAACAAATACTATCTGTCAAGAGGTGACCAAGCCCTTTGTGTTTTGCTTTCACACCATGCAACATCCCAAAGAATTTCTCAGTGCAAGCTTTCTTTCTTTCTTTCTTTCTTTCTTTCTTTCTTCCTTTCTTCCAAAAGATACAGATCAACCACATACTGGAAGCTATTTTCCCCCAGATTGCACTGGTCTTAATTATGCCATACCATTTCTGTACAATTAATTAACAGTGCAGCTGAGATGTGCTGCTGTTTGTAGAAGCTTACCCCACAGTTTTGAGCAACGTAATCACTTACTGACTACGTGTGTAAGCAAGGGTAGCAAGATGGGATTCCTTATCAACACACCTTTAGTCCACCAGCTAGGGAAATTAAAAGATCCCTGAAAATTTGCACAGCCAAAGCAATACAGATGTTCAGAGGTCGTCTGAGCTTTTTCCTTCAACCTGTGTATCTGCACCCAAGAATTTTGCTTACATACATATATTAGGGAAGCAGAGATAAAGCAGTGAGGTCTCAGAACTGTCAGGTGCTCTCATCATTTTTTTTCCTTGCAAAAACAAAAGGCACATTTACACACTGTCGTAGTAGTGTGAGAGGGAAGGCAAATTTCAGTTTTCCCTTGCTTTCTACAGATCCAGGGGGGGATGATGGAACTCAGACAAAAAGAAGACAGCATCCCTTTCTTCCCCAAAACATTTTTGCTATTTTCTCCTGTCTCTGAATTCTCATGATTCCTATTTCAAACCTACTATTTAGCAAAGCCTTCTTTTGTTCCACCACTTTTATTCTGTTTGTTACTGCCTCGTTTGGGCTGATGAAAGGCATTTTGGTCTTGTGTGACCAAAGGTGGGAGGAGGGATCACTGGTGTCTGCAGACGAGATGAGTTGGGCACACAGGAAGGGGCAAAATAAAATGGGAAATAAAATCGCCAGTAGGACATTCAGTAGGCAAAGAATCAGCTGTTGTCCTAGAGCGGGGAAGCCTGAGGAAGATCAGACACATTTGGTGAGACCCTTCCCGTTCTTCTTAGCAAAACTCTCCATCCGATGGCGTTTATTTGCACACCCACCGCACCGAGCTATTTTTCCCCAGTTTCTCCCAGACCCTCCCTCGGGAGCAGGCATCAAATCGCATCGAAAGTTCCTCGGAAGACCGGGGAGGTTTTGCAACGGTTCCGACAGCAAGCGAGCAGAAAGAGCAAAGCACCTACGTGACGGCACGGGCACGGCGGCAGCGCGGCACCGGGGCAGCTCCGGAGTTGCCGCCTCGGCGACAGGTGAGGCTCCGACTCCCAGCGCGCCCTCGGAGCCCCATTTTCACCTTCCCCGGCCCCCTCCCCCGGCACACTCACCGCAGCGGCTCTTTCCTCCCGGTCGACGGGGCACCATCGAAAGTTTGGAGGCGGGGGCAGCGGCGGGCCCCGCATGCCGAGGGGCGGGACGGGGCGGGACGTTGGGACAGGACGGACCGGGAAGGGCCTCCGCCGCCGCCTCCCTCCCTGTCTCCCGCAGAGCGCCCGGCGGGCGGAGCGCCGCGCACAGCCCCGGGATGCGGCTCCGCCTCTCTCGGCTGCGGGGCGGGGGATGCGCGGCGGGGTGCGGGCTTGGCCGGCGGCTGTCCGACACAGAGCGGGGATTTAGCGGGGGAAATGCTCCGCTACTTTAGTAGGGTCCGCGCTCGCTGTTCTTCACTGCTTCTTAGTGTTCCCACATCATGAGCGTAAAGGGGACGCCTTTGCTCCGAATTGCCGCTGGAATCCTTAGCTGCCAGAGACCCAGCTTGGGGTTTGCAGCTCCTCGTAAGAAAAGTGGAAATGCCCGTTATCGGGGCAGGTGTGAAGGTGAATGAAACATCTGTGTATTCCACCTGGAGCAAAAGAAACAGTTGGTATTTCTTTGAAAGGCTGCAAAAGTAAAGACAACAGCTGCTGCATTTACTTGAGCTCTGTGCTCAGCAAAATATTTCAAAAATCTCTCTTGTCAGGGAGCTTCATTGAGGACTAGCTCCAGCCAGCACTGCCATCTTTCATGTAGGGGTCTGCCTTCATTACATCCCATTAGTAAGATCTCCTTAGCATTTTGCCGTGCTCACATGTAACTTAGACCATGAGACCATGAGACCATGAGACCATGAGGCAGGGCTCCTCTGTGTGCCTGGAGGGCCTGATTCAACAAGCAGTGCCTTGGCCCTAATTGTAGTTGCCAAAAAACAAGGACCAAAAGATCACACTCACTCAGTAGCTACTGTGCTGGTGCTGGGACAGATCTCCAAACTTCCTACAGAAGCTGCTGCTCAGAACAGGAATGCTGCTTTACTTGTCATCTCCTGTTTGCATTAATATTTCAGGTAGCTTCGAAGATCAGCAACATAAGCTTCCCTCCTCTGACCTCCTTTTCATCCTGAAGAGTTTCTGAATGTGGGGCTCTTTCTTGGCCAAAGGTGATGACCTCTGCTTTGGTTGTAACTCAGCATTACACTCTTATTAGAGCACAGAGTGTAAGTAGGGTATCAAGGACTAACTTCATCAATTTATGGCTAGTTTTGAAATTCAAAACACGTCTCGAGAACTCCCTAAGATCTTTACTAATTCGGACTGTCTCTGATGAAGGGCTTTGCTGTTAGTCCTTCAGCCCTTCTGAGACTGTTAATGGAAAGCTCCTAGCTTATTGCCAAATAGATTTCTTTGATGGCTAAATAAAGATCCAGGAATTTCAGTTCTCTTACCTCTGTTTATTTCGTTTCCCAAATCAGTGTAATTGTGGGATTTGCTTTTTGATCTGTCAGCACACATGGATGTGTGCCGTGAGTTTTAGCACAGCCCATGTATAATATACAGCTGGAAAGGCTGTGCTTGCCTTTCCTTCTCTAGCAAACAGCATACGGTGGCGTTAATCCATCTCAGGGGTGATGCTCTTTTGCTCTGCTCCACACACCTGTTCTAGCTTAGCGTGCAGTCTTGCTTCTCACATCTTGGAGAGTGTGGTGAAATGCTATGATTCTTTACAATCTGCCTAGCTCAAATCTCCTGGGATCCCATTGCAAAGGAAAAGCTGTTCCTTTGCTTAACTTCCATACTCCTGGAGGAAATCAAGATGTGCAAGTTTCCAAAGCTGCTAGGCCAGTGAAAGTTACACAAGGGAGAGGAGGTGTTGTTTCCCATGGTGAGGAGATTCTGTGTTCAGACACAGCACTTTATGGATATGCACTTCCAATAAAAAAACAGCAATTTATATTGCATGTAAAAGAGTGGCAGTGAAGGATCCTGTAAACACACCTCGAAACAGATGTCCTTGAAGACACCAACATCAAGGGCATAAAAAATTCAAATAGCACAGAACTGCTGGATGTGAAAAATGCCACTGGGTGACCACCTCTAAAGCAACTGCACATACTTTTGTGTGTATGTGCTTTAAATGAATGCCTGATAAACCAGAACAAGTCCAGAGCCATTTAATCGTGAACCAGACGCATCAGATGGGATTGCCAAAGGTTTCTTACAGCACCTCCAATAGGTTGCCCTGGGCTATAACCAGGTGAGTTCTGATTATGCCTAAAGTGAGGGGTCCCACTGCCCTCCCCAGGCAGCACATCCCAGCACTTGATGACTCAGGACTATGTTTAGATTAAAGATGGCTTGTATTACAAAAATGAGTTACCTGAACTTTAAATCCTAGGCTCCTATTTAAGGTGAGCCTACAAAATAAGCCTTTACTGTGAATATATATATGTACCAAGGTGAAACACAGATTGTATAGCTGAAGAGCTTGAAAAAAATACCTGCTGGACATATGTTGTTTCTGCTGGAAATCACACTTGCAGAGAAACTGTAGGGTGCAAGATATTTGCTATGCACAATATCTGCTATGCACTTTCCTCTGGCACTATCTGTTTAACCATCTTTAGTGTCAGAAGGTTGTCCTGAAGAATTCCATCCAACATAAGTTTTTCAGAGGGAATAATAAGCAGTTCTGCAGCACCTCAGAAATTTACTAGTTCTCATAGCAAAAGAAAGTTCTGTACACATCACCCAGACTCCAAGCAGTAATGACTTTTTTTTCATAGAAGCATGGTTGCAATCACAGGACGAGGAAAGAGTTGCCAGTCTTTGTCCATAAATTGTCCAACATCAGATTTGTCAGATGGACATCAGCAAGGCAGAAGAAGTTCATCAGGCACTGCTCTCTTTACTTCACTTATGAAGAACCCATTTCCCCTTGAGCAGTAGCTCTGACAGTAGTGTTGCGCTGTGTGCCACTCACTTGAGCTGAGCTCTGCCAAACCTTAATGACACAGATTTTTCCTGGATCTAGTCGGGCTTTATGGCATGGAGCATTAAATAAATAAATAAAAACCCACCTGAAAACATGACCTCAAGAAAGAAAATCTTCCTGAATTTCTTTGTGGTGCCAACACCAAGGTTATGGAGTAAAAAATTGTTCAGGACCGAGATTTTTTTTTTCTTACTTAAAAGGCCTGTACAGAAGTGTTGAGGTAGTGTTTAGAATGACTTCTGATTCCACAGATCTGTGAACATTTTGGAATACATGTATTAATCATCCTTTGTTCTTGTTCCCTTTTAGTTTACATTCAGTCTCCCAGATTCAGTTCAGCCTCTTTCTCTCCCTTTCTTAAATGCAGTCCTAAGAAGTAGCTGTATGCATAAACAAGTATAATCAATCTTAGACAACAAAGGTGATAAATTCAAGGCAGTGAGGAACTGGAGAAATTCAGTGGATTTGTGAAGTATCAGCTTCAAGTTGCTAACAGCAGTACTTCACAGCCAGCTATGGTTAAACAATCAGTTCAGTTCATCTCGTTCAAAAACTAACACTGTGAAAGGCTCAACTCAATTACCTGTTTGGCTGGTTGGATTCTGCGTCTTTCAGAATAAGACAGGGCTGCAGAGCTGAGCACTGTGCTTTAAATGTGGTCTGCTCAAAGCATCTCCTGCATGGCCTTAGCTGGTCCATTCCAAGAAAGGTAAACATGTAATGTCCAGTAGTTCAGCCAAAAAATGACAACTTACCCATTTAATATCAGCACAACTATTTTTGTTTATCCTAAAATCTGTAAGTAGCTAATCACATATTTTTTGTCACTGCTTCAATCAGTGCCCCAAACTGACTGTGCTTATGCAATACATAAATTCTGAGTTTTTCTCTTTTTTCCCCCATATGTACTTTGCAGTTTCATTCATTCTCTTTCACAACATGCTCTCTTTTCTCTGCAGAGAATATAGAAATTGCCATTTCTTGACAGAGTTTTCCATGATACTTTCATCACTAGACCTTGACAAGAGCTACTCAACTTTTATGAAGATCTACGTTCTGTCAGCTGGCATTCACAGAGGCTGGCCATATAATGAATGATCTTGATAAACACATGAGGAAGAAACAATTTGCTCTGTTTTTTTTTGTTGTTGTTGTTGCTTGCATTTTTTTTTCTCTTCATACTCTAAAAATCCTGTTTTTCTTTAATTCTATTTCTTTTTATACTGACAGATTTCTCCATACTCTGAATTGTGGAATGGAAGGTGACACTTCCCTAAGCTATTAAAAGTTGGTATATAATGCCAATTGCAAATACTAAGGAGTTTTTAGATGTTCCTGAGGCAAGCATGCACTGTTTATTTTTAGAGAGTTCATCACAGAAAGTAGATTCTCATATATACCTTAGAGCTTGAACGTCACGCACACTTCAGTCCTCAGTTTTCAGTAGCTGGGAAAGACATCTCACTCTAAATGGTTCCCAAAAGCGAGTCAGCTACTTCTACTTGCTCCGTGCTTGCTTGAACATCATTTATTTCTAATTCCGTTGCTGTTACAAGCAGCAGTGCCACTCACTCTTTGCTTTGCCTAAAAATGATGCTTGCAATGATTTCAGAAAATTATGTGCATTCATAAGGTTCAATCAGATGATCTTCAAGCTCCTTTTTCAAAATCCTGATGAAGTCTGTGGATATGCTGAATAAATTGTCTTTAGGACAAAAGGAAGTAAGCTGAAAAGATGAAAACCATTGTCTTGTACATGTCCCTCTCTACATTACATTTCTTAGAGCGTAGAAACTTGATCATAAGGTTTAAATGTGTTCTCTTGTGTTTGTAGACAGTGCATAGAGCATGCATTTAACTGCACCCTGATCAGAAATATCATATTTTAGTTATTTTTCAAAAAAAAAAGTTTTTTTCTGTTACGGTTTGATATTCCTTCCTCAGGTTGCCCTTAAGCTCAAAAAGTGTCATCTTTTGACCCTTGCTCAGCCATCTGACATTAAGAGGCAGACGATCATTGGCAGGGTTGGCATTTACAGATGCTTGAAAGAATCAATGTAAATAGGGAAACCTATTGCAGATTAAATTGTTTTGTTGAATACTGATGTCTGTGAATGAAGACAGGCATTCTGACAGTGCATCATAGAATCATAGAATGGCCTGGGTTGCAAAAGACCACAATGACCATCTAGCTTCAACCCCCTGCTGCGTGCAGAGTTGCCAGCCACCACACCAGACCAGAGCCACATCCAGCCTGGCCTTGAATGCCTGCAGGGATGGGGCATCCACAGCCTCCTTGGGCAACCTGTGCCAGTGCCTCACCACCCTCTGAGTGAAAAACTTCCTCCTCACATCCAACCTGAACCTC